TATGATTATTATGGAGACTATTTTGCCATAAACTAGTCCATTTTTCCGTATACTCTTTAGTTGCTGGCTTGCCATCGACGTCCCCAACATTAACAAACATCATTACAGATTGACCTTTCTTTGTCAGCTTCAGTAAATCTTCTGGAGAGTTAGCCTGTGAATTATAGATTACAAACCAGCAAACTTATATTATAAACAGAATAATACTAATAAATAAGCAAAAAAAACCTTTAATAACAAAATATGACAAATCCATGTAGAATTAATAAAAAATAAAAAGAATTAGAAAATACACGTCTACTTTTTTGAGAGCTTCATCTAAGCTAGGGGTTTTTGGCTTCTGTTTGTGTAAAGGTAGCTCGTCTTCCTCCAATTGATCCTCGTCGTTCTCCTCCCACTCCTCATACAATCTGTCCAAATCTCGATCTGTGTAGTCTCTGATATCCTACAATAACTAGTACATTCACTAGATGCGGATATTACATTGCCCTATTGTTCAAAGCTCTGTTCAAAAAATAAGTCAAAATCAAAAATGCCAAGACAATACTTACAAATAAAAAACTTTTTTGCTGTATTTACGTAGAAGTTCCCCATCTTAAAGTTAGCCGTCAGAGTGAGAGGAAGGTCACTGCCCTTTATAAATGAATGCATTAACTCAAACTTTTAGAAGTTTTAGATGTAACATAAAAAAACATGATTAATCAAGCTTTTTCATCCATTTATGTCTTTAGAAAGCAGTAGTGAACTTATTCAGTATCCACTTATTCCCATTATAAAAGAACTAAAAAACAAGCACCATAAAAACGGTCAGTTTAAATGGAATATAAAGGTAAGAAAAAAATCTTTTACCAACCTTTTTTAACTTCCCTTTTGCGCATACTACCCCAAAAAGTAAAAGTGTAATCACCCATCCATCGCTAAGCATAATGAAGAGGGTCTTAGGCAGTCAGTTACAAGACAAGACGGACAGTCCGGTCACTCGGGTATTTAACTTAAATTGACCGCCACTTCAGTGACGGATCACGTAAGAAAGAACTAAACGTGCTATTGTAAGAATCCGCACATTTGGCAAAAGTCCATTTGTAAAGAACCTTATTGGGAAGTTTGCCAATCGTAGCCGATAGTAGCAGTTTCGACTTCCGAACGACTTCTGCCGATTCAGCCCGGTTATCATCTAAGACCTTGCTTCTTTCCAAACAGTTGTTTTTACTCAACAGTTTCGTTTTTCGTATTTTATACATCCCGGCGATGAAAAATCCGGCAAGTGTACACCAAAATTCTGTGTTAGAATATGTGGCATGTCTGTAACCGTCTGCTATCAGCGCTGAAAGAAGACCTGTTTCAAAAAAGGGTTTTAAAATTGACTAGTTTCAAGCGAAAGGGAAATAAAAAACTGGAAGGAAGAAAAGAAAAAAAATGAGATTTTTTTTGTTATTCAGGAAAATAGCGATTATCCTGCTTAGAAATTAATCTTTCTCTGGAAACTTGTGTGGCAAAGGCATTTTAAATTTACTTAGATGTCACCATTGCCACCGAAAGTTTTACGAATACGGTAGTTTATTTTGAAAGGAAATTTTTAAAATGAAATACTATTTTACAAATACGTCTTCAAGTATACGGTAATTGTACGCTAATTGATCGCTGTGCAGTTGGAATCAGAACACTGTTTAGAGGAGTAAAAACAACTCTGTAGATGGAGATATTTTGGCTAGAACTTTTGGCAGTGCAGTTTTTTAAGAAGTCGATTAAAATCCTGTTAAACGAGAAAATGAAGATTAGAGGTTTTTTGGTTTTAAAGGACAAAGAGTCTTATCATCATACGTTTTTTTAAAAAAAAAAATCAGTCTTTTGAGTACCGTAAAATGAAGTTTCTGATAGATCAATACCAAATGTTTGTTATGTTTGTTATACACTACAAACTAGTGACTTATTTGTTTTCTACCAAAAACTTGTTAAAACTATTGGGCAAATTCAATTGCATTTTTTACGAATTAACCTGAACCAATTACTAAAATCTAGGCCCAGTTACAGGACATAAATAGTTTCTTCTCGGTTGTAAAACCTATTTGGCTGCTGTTCTGTTCGTTATTCCTCATTTATTTTTCTATTTATTTATTTATTGATTTACTTATTTATTCAATTAATTAATTAATTTGTTTATTTATTTATGTAATTTATTTAATTAATCAATTAATCAATCAATTTACTTATTCTATTTAATTAATCAATTAATTAATTAAACAATTAATTAATTAACTTAATGCTTATTTATTTATTTATTTGTTTATTTAATATTTATTTATTTTTGTTTTTTCTCCTTGCTTTTATGTCTAAAGTTTTGAATAATCTTTCTGAACCACAAGCGAGGGCACCTAATAGATGTGTGGTTAAGAGTTATTTAAATTGACACTTGGCTCGCCCTAATCGCCTGTAAATGTTTAACCAAATTTTAATGTTCAGTGTTGATTGGTAATGTAATTTTCTGTTTCATTCCACTTCTATTATTTTCCGTTATATGATCGAAGATATGCATTTTTATAAGTTTTAATTAAAAAAAATTTATGAAGAGGAGGCAGAAAAAAAAAAAATTTTTTTTTTTTTGATTATATTAGTATCACAAAAAAATGTTTTTTTTTTTTCTTCTAAAACTAACACAGATGTGCTGTAAGACATATCACTGTCTAAATAACCTGTTTTTTTGATTCTGATAAGTGTGAAGTTTTAATTATTTGAACTGATGAAAAACGAGAAGAAAGCTGTAGTGTATTTGTGAAATCTGATGAGGCGAATGATGAATAAACATAAAATAAATAAGTGTTGAATGGAAAAAGCAATTACAATAATATTTTTTTTAAATTTAAAATTTATCACATTTATTATTATCTAATATAATAGCAACTTTGTTTTTGATAGCAAAAACTGTTTTTTTTTTTATCGACTTACGTCTGAAAATCATACAAATAATCGGTAAACTGCCTCTACTTTTTTTTCCTCCCATTAAAGAACAGTTGCCATAGCTGCCATTGTAAAAAGTACGGCTGAACTTTGGTTGGACAACAAAAGTTTTAAGCAAAAAATCCATGATCAATTGGACGAATTTAGTGGAACAAAATGATAGTATTTCAAGGAGAAAAATTTCAATTTATTTAAATTTAAATTTTTGTTTCTTGATACTTTTTGTTGACAAAATAAATGATACAAAATTTAGCAATTGTTGTAGCTTTCTTGACTCTTTTATTAACATTAAACTTTCATGTAATAATTTCTAAAGTGAAAAAAACCCTTCATTTTTTTTTTCTGCGGAATATTAAGAATAAACAAAGAAATAAGTTTATTTTCTGAATAAATTGAAATATGTGGACAACAAGCTAAATGGAATGACAGTTTACGAGATCAACAATAGAACATTAAATTAACAGAACGGATTCCATCTTTAACGTTAACGTTTCTATGAAAAGTTCTTTTATTTTGACATCAAA